TATATGTTTCTGCTATTATTGCCGATGTTGGGGCTCCCATAGCTAGACCATCTGTTTGTTTGTAGTAATCTTGGTCAATTTGAAAATAATTCTGTTCCAATACTGTTTTTAATATATGTATTGTTTCTTTGTGGCTTTCTTTATCTATGTCATTGTTTTCCTCTAATATAGTGTTTATTATGTTTATGGTATTTGTTTTTGGTATATTTGTATACATGTTTTCAATGTCAAAGGAACATAGTCGCATATTCTCATTAAGTTTAATGGTTTGTAAATCTGTCATTAGGTGGGACATTGTATGTCTTTGGTAATTTTAGATAATCATGCAATACTTTTGCTAATTTCCTTGCTATTTCGTAAGCTGCAGCGTTCTTCCAATTTATTATTGGTCTAATGGGTGTGTTAGGTTTATGTAATTTTATTGTGGCATGTAGGTTTGGGGCTGTGGGATTCCATTTTTCTCATATGATATTATTACACTGTTTCAGTGTTTGTTTTATTTCCCTTTGTTATTGTTGGGTCAGGTTTTTGTCAATTTTTATAAATTGGTTATTGTGTATGAAGTTATTTATTTTCTGTTTATATTCTTCTTGTGTTAGTATTACTAGTGTTTTTCCTTTATCTGCTTTCGTTATTCTCTTTATTCTCTTCGATTTTATTTTTTATTCATTATTTGTTTCCAGTCCTTTTTATCATTCTTATCTTTATTTTTATTCCTTCCATTATTATTCTTGTGTATATCTTTTAGTTTCTTCGCAATTAGGTGTCTATAATAATTTTGTTCTGTTATTTCTAGGTTATTTATTACTGTTTCAGCTTCTATGGCTAATGTCTCAATCCATTTTTCGTTCTTGTGATGTAGATTATATTTAAGGCCTTTACTTAGTATTTGGGTTTCTTCGTGTGTAAATTGTATATTTGTTTGGTTCACTACTCTCGCATATTGTATGTTTTTACTTGTTGTATCTGTATTATGTGTTTTCATCATGTTGTTTATTTTTTGTTGTTGTTTTAGATATGTTGTTTCCATATCTTTTTGTAATTTTTCTTGTATTGATTGTTCGATGTTATTCCATGTTCATTGCCATGTGTTTGCATTGTGTATGTGAATGTGATAGAGTTGTGTATTTAGTTGTTTCTTTTTGTATAGAAATTTTATTTCATTTTTTATGCGTATTGTTTCGGCCTGTTTTTCTGTTTTCTTAGCCGCTTCGCTGTTTGATGTTATTTTCACATATGCGTATTTTGGTACTAACTTTTCTTTTAGACAGGTTTTGTTAAATTTTATGTTAGCGTTGCAGTGTAACAGTTTCCGTTACAGTGACATAGATAAAGAAAGCCACAAAGAAACAATACATATATTAAAAACGGTATTGGAACAAAATTATCTTCAAATTGACCAAGATTACTACAAACAAACAGATGGTCTAGCTATGGGAGCCCCAACATCAGCAATAATAGCAGAAACATATACACAGTATATGGAACACACACAAATATTTCCCATTCTAGTAAAACAACAAATAGTGGCTTACTTTAGATATGTTGGTGACATATTAATAATATATGATGAAAAAATATACACTCAAAGAAATTAACGAATTGCAACCAACTATAAAGTTCACAATTGAAAGAGAACAACAAGAATCTATTAACTTTCTAGATATAACAATACATCGTAATGAAGATAGCTTGCAATTTGAAATATATAGAAAACCCACACAGACAGACATCATAATACCCAACAGCTCGTGCCTTCCAATCGAGCACAAATTGTCAGGTATTAATTACTTAATGAATAGAATCTACACATAACCAATAACAGAAAAAGGAAAACAAATAGAGAAGAACACTATTAAAAACATACTACATAACAACGGATAAGACACAGACATAATCAAAAGATCGAATCAGACAAAACGAAAACAAAAATCAAACACAAATGACGATGAACAACAACAGAAAACAAAGTGGGCCATATTTACATACAGTACAAAAGAAGTAAGAAAATTACAAAACTTTTTAAAGACACACAGATGAAAATAGCATTCCGCACACGAAACACAATAGAAAACATACTCAAACAAAAACCACAATTGGACAAATACAACAAAAGTGGCATATACCAAATGAAATGTGTAGATTGCCCATTGAAATACATTGGCCAAACAGGCCGAACATTTAAAGCTAGATATAAAGAACATATACATGATATTAGAAATAATAATAGCAATTCCTGGTACTCAAATCACATACTAAATACAGGACATGCATATGGAACAATAACAGACGTAATGGAAGTTATAACAACAGGAAAGAAAGGTAGATATTTGAATACATTAGAGAAATACCATATATATAAAATAAGTAAGAAGGGCCTACACATGAATGACACACACATAGAAACATACAATCCCATATTTCAAACGATACACAAAATCTATACAGACTAACGGTACCTCCCTCTCCCCACTACGCATTTCCCCTCCAACACTCACCAACATAAAACACAGCACACAATACACCAGACAGCACACGTATTAAAGATAAGCAGCGACACACACAGAGAGAGCCTACACAGAGTAAGTACAAATAACAGTATAAACA